TCATCCTCATCCTCCTCCTTATGGTAGGCCTTTGTAGGATGCTCGAATTGCCCCGCAAAACGTGCACAAACTCCCTAACATGCATACTTTTTTCCCGCAGTACTTCCCGTTTCAATCTCCCCTCCGGCATCCACTATGATCACGAAGAGTTCCTCAAATTCCTGGTAACTCCACTCTCGGAATTAGAGGAGAACCGGCTAACAGAAATGGCGAAATTGCGGCCGCTGGATAAAGAGTTGCAGTCCGCTATTCAGGTATACTGCCTTTAAAAAGAAAACTTTTTTCTGCATCCTTCATTGCATGCTGCGCATTAATTTTGCACCTAGTGTTCTATTCATCGTACGTTTGTGTATATCTCGCTGAACGCTGCTCGAAACCATCGAATGCTGTTTCTGAACTCTTCCAACGCTTTGAAATAGAATAGCCAAGACTGCTCTTGTGTGGTAGGTTGGCTCAAGGACAAAAAGGGACGCTTCCTCTTGTTCGTGTAATTTAGGCTGTTAATTGGAAAATCTTGTCAAAAATCCAAATCATTTTGTCAATTTGAGTACCTTCGCAAAGCTATCCATCCTTAACTAAAGTTTTTCTTTCAGGCGACATGGCTATCTTTTGGTTTGTCTATACTTTTTTTCTGACAGGGTTAGCCGACGCCATTCATTAACGCTCATAATCTTTTATTTAACCTCTTCCAACGACAAAACTGTGGATATGCCTTATCCGCCTCTGTACAAGAAGTCGACTTTAAATTGTCGAAGGCAGATGTTTTTGCTACTAAGTCTAGGATAATTTGCTTTAACAAGGAAATATCACACTTTCGAAATTGAGATCGTTTGAGTAGACTGCAATATAATCTTTCTTACAGTAGTCGGATGAAGCTATGAAGATGTGAGTAGTCGAAGAGCACAATAGTATTTCCTGGAAGAGGTAGCCTCAACTGGGGGCCTTTTGTCAGCCATGTAAATAGTTAAATGCACATGCTACTTGGCATTTATTAGTAGGCATGATTTACCCAAACATTATTATCGTCATAAACTGTTGCTTTTCTGTTCTACTGGCCATTATTTTCTT